AAATAAACCATGGACGACGTTGTTTTTCATTTTCTTCGGATATTGAACCAATGGTGAGTTCACTTTGAAACGTATATGTTGAAGTTGAACGATAATATTGATTTGAATTCGAATTATTGTTTGTTGTTGTATTTATTTCTTGGACAGACATTTGTGCTTGCAATGTATTTTCTAGATTTGGTACTGTTGACCATTGATCAAAGTCATTTCGTGACTCATTATCTGAATAAGGCCAATCGCATATTTTCGGCTTGTTGTGATTTGAATTCACATTATTGTTTGTTATTGTATTTATTTCTACGACAGATATTTGTTCTTGCAATGTATTTTCTAGATTCGATACTGTTGACCATTGATCAAAGTTCCTTTGGGACCTGTTATCTGGATAAGACCAATCACTAATAATCCACATGGTCTGATTGGAATTAGCATGGAAATCTGACGAGTGTGCATATTCATTGACGTTTAGCACAAGTTCTCCACTCATTTTATGAGATTATAAAGAAAAATATTCTACAATAGAAAAAATGAAAAGAAAATGTTTTACTCTGTTTATAAATGTTGCTTAACGAAAAATAAAAATAAAAACTCTTAAAGATTGGTTTGTAATTATTTATCATCAACACTAACTAGATGTTTTTTTCCCTCAAAATTCCACTTCTGCAAGACCCTAAAAGAAAGGCTCTGATATCATACGATAAAAGGGTGTGGCTGTTGGTGGGCGGGTATGAGTATTGAAATTCTCTGGATGTTGTTAGTAGACGTATATCCTTGTAGTCGATAGTAGTTTCTGGTAGCCTGATCACTTCTTATAGATACTGAGTACTTATGATGGATCAAGTACGGGAATTAGTTGTAGAAATTCTTTTTGAACTTTTCATGGAGAATCTGTATAAATCTGAATTACTGTATAATTCATTTTCACCATGGGCTCCATACATTGATCATGTTCGTCTATGTCATAATCGTAAATTTTTTCTATAGTTATACATTTTTATGGGATCATTCTATTTGGAATAGCTGTGTAATAGCTATTGTAAAACACGACACTGTCAATATATAATTAAATCAATCTTGTAGTAAGAGATTTTTTTCATATATTTTTGTGTTTTGAAATATTTCAGATAATCATTGTTTGCTAAGTGGTTGTCATAACTAGTGTTGCAGCATTATTATTCTAGGTAGCTGATGGCAAAATATTTCTACTTAATCGAACAACATCAACTTCCACACAGACGCTCACACTCTTATTCTCATTGTTTTTTCGATAACTTAGTGTTTTTTTTGTCTTTCTCAATCTCGCATCATTTGATACAATACTCTCCTCTGTTTCTTTTTTATGTCAGCATCTTTTTAAAATGAAAGATAGGGTGTGGGTGGGGTGTGGGTGGGATGTGCATAGGTCCACGAAAAATTTATTTTATCCCGGTTTACTTTTTTCTATATTATATGTGAGCTTTTACTCCTTTTATTCCCTTAGCTCCTTTAACTCCCTTAGCTCCCTTAGCTCCTTTAGCTCCTTTAGCTCCTTTAGCTCCCTTAGCTCCCTTAGCTCCTTTAGCTCCCTTAGCTCCTTTAGCTCCTTTAGCTCCTTTAGCTCCCTTAGCTCCCTTACCTCCTTTAGCTCCCTTAGCTCCTTTAGCTCCTTTAGCTCCCTTAGCTCCTTTAGCTCCTTTAGCTCCTTAAGCTCCTTTAGCTCCTTTAGCTCCTTTAGCTGCGTTTACTTCTTGTATCTTATGTGTATCCTTAGTTTTGAACAGAAATCTAACAATATTTAACACTATAAATTTTGTTAATAAAATTTTTGTTGATTTCTTTGAAAACTGTAGTGAAGATACTTTAATACTATTTTGTCTGCTATTGAAAATCGTTCCAAACAAACTTTTCTATTTGACCTGTGATGAAAGGAATTTCTTTGAAACTCTGATACTGACTATGAGTACTGTGCAGAGCCTTTGCTTTTATTACTGTATTTAGAAGAGCAATTTACGCTC